AAAGAACACTCAAGGATAAATACAATTGAGTACAAAAGTGTTCTTGAAAGCAAATGAATATTGGATGAAAAATAGGCTTGAAATACTCAAACTTGAGGTTTGATGCTTTCTCTTTGATTCTCTCTTGATTCTAGTTGATTGATGTTTCTTGTTATTGATCAATGGCTCCAGAACTTGTTTAAATACCCCTTGAATCAATTCTGAACGTTGGTTATAATTAGTGGGGATAATAGAGCCGTTTAAGTGTGAAAACAATTAATTTTTCTAGGTGGAGCGTCTCATGCATCGATGCATGATCAAGTATGCATCGGTGCATTCGTGTAAAATTCAAATATTTTGACCGTTGGAACACTTGATGCATCGGTGCACCAAGTGTGCATCGATGCATGAAATGCATTCGATGTTTGAAAAATAGCCTGATGCATCGATGCATGGCTTGTGCATCGATGCATCAAATGCATTCGATGTTTTGAAAATATTCAGAGTGCATCGATGCATGGAGAGTGCATCGGTGCATGGAATGCATTCGATGTTCAATTAATTCACCGATGCATCGATGCATGGACTGATGCATCGGTGCATGCCTTTGAATAATTGATTTAAGGCATGTTTTTGGTTCAAAATACTTTGTGAAAATTGTTTCAAAAATAGTTTAAGTACAAATCACAATTTTACAAATTTAGTAAGGATTAAAATTGATCTTGAAAAACTTGGAGTAATAATTTGATATTCGGTTAATTGAATCGAATTTGTAAAATCATTTGTGAAATCTTAAAATTCATTTAACTTAATTTGTTATATCGAAATATCAAAAATGTTTTCAACAGATGGTTTCAAATGTTACAATATATTAATTTTTTTTTTACATTTTCAGCCTTGATATTATCCAAAATTTACAGTTTTTTGTTTGAAAGATTCCTTATAACCTTCTAGTGAGTCAACAGTTGCTACAGTATAATCTCAACAATCTAGTCAAACATCAACTCGCAGCAATACATACATCATCAAAATAGTCACAACATTTAAGTAGCAATTTGCAACAAAAACATCAAATTTAGCCTAAGAACCAATAATTTACTCACATTATGAAACTAATGTAAAATATGCTAAAATAATCTTAAAATGATCCTAACTATGTTAAAGTTCAAGTTTAACCCAAGTAAAATGGTCCTATATAATAACTCTTTTGAAGAGTTATCATAATATAAAAATCATCCTAACACACAACTAATACATGCTTCTTAACATCAAACCAACAATCAATTATGCTTATAAATCAAGATTTGCATAATTGGTTATTTTGATCATCATAGGCATCCTAATGAACATTTTAAGCTTATTTGGTAAATGTACACGTTCTAACACTTAAACATGTCAAACTTTAGTTCTAAATCATAATATCACAAAATTGATTATGCATGCAACCATAGCATACCAAACAAATTGATCATGCTTGCAACCATAACATACCAAACATTCATTATATTGATGCATCATTCACCATCCACTATAGCAAAATAGGTTTTAGCGGTACTTTTAGTGGTGTTTTTAAGGTCAACACCACTAATTTTGTACATATCACGACGTTTATGGAACAAACGTCACAAAAAAGGCAATATTCACAACATTTATGGTAATGTGCTGCAATAGCATGTACTTTTAGTGCGTTTTCCATAAAAATGTCGCTATAGATTGATATACGGGGGCATTTTTTTTAAGAAACACCGCTACAGACGCGTACCTTAGTGATGTTTGTTTAACAAACTCCGCAATAGAATCATATATAACAACGTTTTATTTTAAACGCATCAAGTTGGCAATACAGATGTGGCATTTGTAAAACCAAGTTGCACGATTATTCAGTCCTTTACACTTGATTTCAAATCCCTAATCAGTAGTCTTAAAGACATAGTCTTATACTTTTGTTTGATATTTACTCTTCGCGTTGCCGTTTATAAACCATGGCAAAACATTAACTCGTTTTCAGTTGCATCCTTACCCAGGATCTAGACTCGGCCTCTATTATTTTCTTTCGGGTAAACACTTAACTTTCTAAACTTTATGCTTGTTTCGAATTTCATTTTTTTCATTTCTTCCTATGAAATAAGATTGTCACTTCACAAACCAGGAAATTCCTCATCATTAAGCTCCACGACCCTTGCAAGATTGTTTAAGAAAGCAGTTCAATCGATTCACACTTCACACCCAAATTAGTTAACCTTAGCGCCATTTGTTTTTATAAACGCCACTAATGGTGTACATATTTGCAACGTTTTCCCCTAAAACGTCACTAAATATCAATACATATAACAACGTTTGATGGAACAAACGTCACTAAAGATCATGACAATTAGCGGCGTTGGCATTTGTTTCTAAAATGTAGCTATATGTCTTTACCTTCTGCGGCGTTTTTTATTCACAAACGTCACTAACTTTTGCGGCGCCTGTTTTAGTTGCACTTCTTGCAGCACTCTTTCTAGCGACATGAGGGGTTTTAGCGGCGTTTAAAAATGCCGGTATAGGACTAAAAACGCCATTAAATACTTGTTTTGCTATAGTGATCATGCCATCATAAAATGAAACATTAAACCACAACTGAAATCCAATGTTAAAAGTTCAAATCAACACAAACTAATCTCTAAAAAAATGTAAAGACGTTATTTAAAATCATCATACATCACGCCTCTTAATAATTTCAAAACAAGTAATCATCGTCTCATGTAAATTATTCTCAAAATATTTTTCACGCTCAAGGCCAATTTTAAACAAATGTTCATCATACATTTTCACACGAATTCCAGCAAATAATTCATTATTGACATATTGACTCACAGATTGTATCAAACAAGTATCAAACAAGTATCAATTTAGGACATCAGATATAGAGATCTCCTTATAATACTCTAGTGACAAATGAGTCATATAGGTTTACAGTTTAAACAAATGAACTTAGTGATTGAGACACAAATTCTTCTGAATAAAATCAACAGTCACATCTAATGATTCCAATCACAATTAACCATCTCCAAAGCTTAATTATCATGGATAGCTTTTATATATAGTTATAGATGGTTGTAGATAAATTTTATAAAAAGACAACATATTTTGTTTCACTAACTAAAAAACATTACACTTAATTAATAAAATGAAAGAAATGGTCATATGCCTAAACTTTGTACTATTAATCTAGTTCCTAACGTGCTTAATTCGTTAATTATTGAGAGTAATTAGTGGCCAGCTGTAAAGTTATTTATGTATTAGGTTTTCGTAATACAAAATTTAATGATGACTCAGCTTTAGTGGAACCAACTAAAAATCATGTCTTAAAACACAAATTTAACTTTGATGCCCTCTCTATGTTTCACAAATTGTATTCTTCCCAAGTTAAAATTTTCTTTCAAAGAATGAATCTAAAATCCATCGAGGGTCACTTTAATTAGGAGCATTAATTTAGCTTATTTTTAATAGTTTTTCTAAGAAAAAAATATAAAAAATGGATTTTTTTTAATTTTTAATATTAAATTAATTCACTTTAATTCTAGCAAACGACTGAGAAGAGACGGTCCCGATCTTTGTCCACTATTGCGAAACCACCTCTATTTCTTAGGTTGATTGTTGTTAATTTTTTTTTATCTTTCTTAGTAATCTTAGTTCAAATAATATAATTTATACGTATATATAAATTTGATTTTAATTTTGTTAAAAATAATTTTGTAATAATATAAATTGATTGTTTTTATTAAATTTGTCTATAAAAGATATATAAAAGTATGATGTTCAAAATCAAATGTTACGTGCATTGATTAAAATCTCCAGACCCCTCGTGTAAAGAAATTGAAATGTATAAATTTTCAGTATATCAGATGAGTAGTGGAAAAAGACAAAGGGAGTGCAATTTGACAACAAAAAAAATAAAATGGAAGCAGTGGTAAACAATTGCAAAAGGAAGAGAGTCCCAGTTAATAGGCCGCGATGACAACGAGCCTACCGCGGCCATGTCTCGTGAAAGATGCGAAATACGTGGAAAAGAATCCGCTCGGTTCAGCCAGGCCAGCGCACTTCTCGCCAGTCCTGTGACTTACCCCTCCTCCCTACTTTCTTTCTTTTTATTTGCTTCCAAATTTTAAATATTATTAAATCAATCTTTTTACTAGAATTAACCCTTTATGTTCCTCAACACTAAAGAATTGCTCTCTCACGGAGGAAGATGTCATTATACCTTCGGAAATTATCAAATTTCTATCGATATAATTTATTGGAATTATTAACTTTTTATCACTCAACACCTTCAAATAAATTCTCTCAATTATCAAAATTATCAATGAGTATATATCCTTCAGATATAGACCACTGCATGAAATACAGTATAAAATAACATCTCTAACATTTGTACTTAATCTATTATAACAGAATTTAATATTTATAGTCATAAATTACTCATACTTAACACCGTTAACTAAGAATCATTATAATTACCTTCAGCATAATTAAGAGAGAGATTAGAACCTCCATGTCCTGTATTCATTCTTCTCCTATTTTATCCTCATGATTTGATCTTCTATAAAAAAAATTCAACCTACAAATTTTCTCCTTTTTTTTTGTCTATACTAATAACTTTTTTCCCATTATTTATAAATTTACATTTAAATTAAAAGAGATAAATTATAAAAAATTAATCAGACCTATTTTTTTGTATTAATAAAAAGACAATATAAGAAATATTTCTTTTAGTTGCTTAAGACAAAACAAACCCGCATTTGAACTTGTATTTTACCTCTCTTGTCGACAACGGTGAGAGATGAAGGGGGACATCAGATCCTCTGCTACATATAAGTTTAAAAAACTGCCATAAGATTGCCCCTACAATTTGCAGTTTTTTTTTTCTGCGTGTAAATCTTAATATTAATAATCTTTTATCGCTAGCTTGCCTCGATAATGTAAATCCTTCAGATTTGAATCAGGAACTCTCCTCATTCCTTCCTTCTTTTTTTTTATCTTATAGTTTATAGCCAACTTGTTTCTCCTTCAAGAAAACCTCTGTGCCTTTTGCTTTTTGCACTGTTCTTTTTTTTATCTGGTTAAAAGTTGAAACCTCATCAACTCTTTCATGGTTCTGAAAACCATAGCTTGTTGACACTTGAGATTCTTCCTTTTTCAAAATCTTGTTTCAGTGATGGCTCAAAAGCATTTGCACGAGTTACTTCAAGAGGATCAAGAGCCATTTGTTTTGAGGAATTTCATTGCTGATAGGCGTTGTCAGCTGAAGAAATCATCACCCAAAACTCATGTTCAAATCAATAAACGAAAACCCATTACTCAAATCTCCAGTTTCCCTTCAAATTTCTGCAAAAGTGCTTGCTTTTTCTCCTTCCACGATGCAACAATAGACCCCAGGAAGTCACCGTTGTTTGAATTCCCTTCACCGGTTAAAAGCCCTTGCAAAAGCCCGGCTACCATCTTTCTTCACGTCCCAACAAGAAGATCGGCTCTTCTTCTTGAAGCTGCTCTCAGGATTCAAAAGCAATCGAAAACCAAGAACAACGGCGGTTCTTCTGGGTTATTTGATTCAATCCTGAAGAGGCTAACTCACCGTAACAAGAACCGGAAGCGTGGAATCGGTAATGATGGAGGTGAAGTTTCGACTGTGGGGAAAAACAACCCAAGACAAAGGAAAAGGTTGTCGGAGATGGAAGAACAAAGTGGTCGGCCGAGCAGTGCTGTTTGGTCTGAAAAATCCATGGATTTGGATACTTCGTGCAGCTGCAGTCATCAATCCGAGGATTTTGAAGAGATTTTCAGTTCCAAAGATGGTTTACAAAGTAATTCAGCTTTTGCTTCCTTTGATGAGCATTTTTGTGAAAGCCCTTTCCATTTCGTGCTTCAAAAAAGCCCTTCTTTTACTCATCGGACACCACTCTTCTCTTCACGAACATCATCCCCAAAGGAGGTCAGTACATTTAATTTAAAAGCACCTTCATTTGGAGCATTTGAGTGAACTCGTGACTCGGATGACTGAATAGTGAGTTATCAGATGTGCGGTAATTCGAGTGTACTCCTGTTTTATTTTTCCAGTAAGCAATTTACTTAAAAGTACAAATATTTTCTAGTTTTTTCTGTTGGATCCCATCATCAGAATCAGACAATTGTTTCACAGTTTTTGATTGGAAAAGTAAGCAACCCAATCAATCAGCAATTCTATGTACAGACAACCCTTTAAAAATCGTGGAAATTTTCAACAAATGCAGTGTCTGATAGTAATGTCTGAAGAATAACATGTCTTAATCAGAGGTGGTTGCATTGGATTATAACAGGACAAGGAAAATTACGAAACAGAGAGTTATCAAAAACTACAAGTAGAAGAGGAGGAAGAAGAAAAAGAACAATGCAGTCCTGTTTCTGTTTTGGACCCTTCATTCGAGGACGACGATAAACATGTGGATGATGATGATGATGATGTTGATGATGATAATGTCCATGAGAACAATGGTTTCGATCTCGAATGCAGCTTTGCAAATATACAAAGTATGCTTTCTTTCTGGATCACTTGAATTCATTTCTGGAACATTTCATCTAGTTAATGAGGTCTTTAATCTTTATCTATATGGATATGTATGGTTTAATTTTAGTTATTATATAGGTAAATAGTTTATATTTGAAGCTTTGTAGGTATAATTTTAGGTACATTGATTTTCATTTCGGTTTTGCTTGTTATGATATCAGGAGCAAAGCAGCAGCTACTGCATAAACTTCGGAGATTTGAGAAACTAGTCAAACTGGATCCAATCGAACTCGAGAAAAGAATGTTAGAGCTTGATGATGATGAAGATGATAACGATGCAATATGGGACCTGGACGAAGAAGACAAACTCGAGAACGAGTCGGTTTCTTCGGATAGTGAAATGAGCATAGATGTCATTATCCAAGAAGTGCTTAAATCAAGCTTCTGCAATGCAGCACATCTCCCAGACGGCATGAAAAGGTTGGTATCAGATCTCGTTGCCAAGGAAGAGACCGACATCGATCGAGAAACAGTGGCTAAAGGGGTATTCAAAAGGCTAGAATCATGGAAAGATGTGAAATCAAACACCATTGACATGATGGTGGAACAAGATTTCAGAAGATCGGAGCCTGATGGTTGGAAAGGAAACCAAGAACAGATTAAGGAAACTGCATCACAGCTGGAATATGCAATCTTTGGATTATTAATGGAAGAATTATCATCAGAACTTGTTTGTTTAACTGGGATTTGATGGGGAAGATTTTTTGAATTAAAAATGAATTTTGTATTCACTTTCTTTCAATTTTTTTTTTGAAAATTAGAGTCCGACTTGCACTGAATTGATAGGCTAATGAGGAAAGGATGTCGGTTAGAATTAGGGGTGTAAACGAGCCGAGTCGAGTTCGAGTATTGCTGAGTACGATTCGACTCAAAAACTTGCGAGCTTAAAATTTTTAAGCTCGACTCGAACTCGAAATCCTGAACTGAAGCTCGTGAGCAGTTCGAAAAGGCTCGAAATGAAAAAAAAAATCTTAAACTTAACTAGATTGATGTTTCAAACTCAAACTCGAACCTGAATTTTAAATACATAAAAGTCTTATTGTATTTTTTTTAAAAATCAATACATAAATGTTAATATTATTAATAATTTATTTTTTAAAAAATAAAATTTTAATATATTATATTTTTGAACTGCTCACGAGCTTTTCGAGTCGAGTATCAAGCAGCTCGATTCGGCTCGTTAAGAATTAGAGTCGATCTCGAGTTCGAGTCGAATTCATTCGATCCGAGTATTTATCGAACTTTGACCGAGTCAATCTCGAGTAGCTCGTGATCTGTCTCGTCTCATTTACAGCCCAATTAGAATAACAATATCATTATGTATGTGAAAATCATGTATCATTGTAATAAAATTTGATTATATTAAAACAATTTAATCCAAAATAAAAAAAATCACAAAGGTACAAACCTGATTCAATGTCTTTTCGTTGTTGCTAATAAAGGATATTCTTTCACAAATTTAAATCTTTGGTCAGTAAGGGAAAATTTATTTCATTCTTTTCATAATTGATCAGTGTTTCTTTCTTCTCATATAAACGACAATATAAGGGCAGCATTACCTGTTAAAATAGTCACATTCTTGTTCTGATAATAGAAAACCAACTTTTTTTTATTGATTGGACAATTCATTTAATTTTTTTTCATTAATCGATTATAGGTAAAATATATAAAAAAATCCTTCATTAATTTGATACTTAGAGGAGTTGAACTTAAAATAAATAAGTAAAAATGAAAAAAAATACTGCCATCAACCTAAGCCTTTGCCGTTAGAACAATGCATAATAAATAGGGTCAAATCGAATCAATCGTTTGTATTTAATAACACGCTTAATGTTTTCCATAAAGAGAATATTGTTTTTCTAGAGGGTTCAAATTCAAGTAATTATGTTAGTAGATTGTATGGGTATTGTTGTATGTTAAACAAAATCTCAATTGTCGATACCGTTTTTCGTTCGGGTGGGGAAAGATCGACTGCAAAAATCCAGAAATCGGGTTCGAGAGTCAGTTACGCGTGGAGAATGATTAACACCCTCACAAGCGCCAAAAAATTGGTATCTAGTTGATTACCTTATATTTAAAATTAAAAATTTTGAGTTCAATCTTTATTTAATTTAAAAATCATTACGGATGCAAAGTTGAAAAATATATTCGTTTATTGAGACCGATAGCATTCGCTCCCAAACGTAAATGCGGGAGATCAACTATTGTGCCTAATAACCAAATATTACCTCGTTTTTAGAAAGTCATGATGCTTTTGTTGAAAAAGATGTTGACCTATTTTGGGAATTACCAGTAGTCACCCCCTGAGTATATTTGCGGGAGATATACCATTAATTCCCTACTAAGTGAACATTGCCTTAGGTTTAAAAAATAATGCAATCAAACAAATTTTTATTTAATCCTAATTAAGCTAAGGTAAATTAAAGGTAAATCAAACAAATTATGAAACTAAAGGAACCTAGAAGCTCAAACCTAAAAATGTAGGATCTAATATTAATCCTATTTGATTTCAATCAATTATTGAATCGAATAATCGAGATGGTCCCTAGAGCATTTAGGTGAGGGCCAACTCGAATTATTCTCTAAATTAAAAGACTAGTTTGAAATCTAACTAAAAAGGGATGCTCTATTTAACCTATTTAATTATGTCAAAATTAAGGCTAATCGAAATTTGGGAACTAAAAGGTCAAGATCTAAAATATCGGGTTCTAAAAGACTTAAAAGCTTAAGGACCTAAATTAATAATTTCTAAGGTCGAGGACTAATTAATAAACCAAAAAACCTAATTATTATCTAAATTATTAAACCTAAAGTATTTTTTTAGAAAAATATTAATTATTAATAAATTTTAAAACTTGAGCAATCGATTCGAGTAATCGGGTATCTTATGTGAAAACTCGACTCGAATTGCTCTCTAATTAAACTAGAGTGTCATCCTAATTTTCTAAGTTCGATTCGAGTGTTAATCTAATTTAAAACTAAATTTAGGAATTTAAACTATGAAACAAAACAATTAATAATAAACTTAATTAAAATAAATAAAAAACAAATAATAAAAAATAGTAAAAAAATAAAATAAAATAAACATAAATAGAAGGACCTAATTGTATAAATATTAAATTACTAAGCTAAAAGGGAATAAATTAAACATATAATGGGGATAAATTGAAACATGTTGAAATTTGAAGACTAAATTGAAATAAAATGAAAATAAACATATTAGGAACTAAAATACAAAACACACTAGAATTAAATGGGCCTAATGGAAAATTTCCAATTTATTTAAGCCTAAAAAGTAATCTGTGAAATTAAAAGGGAAAATTACAAAATCAATCCACATAAATTTTAAAAAACTTAAATAGTCACTACACATGACTAAAATGAAAAAATACGACAAACTTTCAGGGACTAAAAAGAAATTTCACCAAAATAAATAAAAATAGACAAATAAAAGGAAAATTACAGTTTTAAACCCTACAGAACCAAAATGTAAAAACACACTAAAATAATAGGGACCAGAACATGAATAAACAAAAAATACAAAGCATGCACAGCAGAAAGGTGAAATAGCAGTTTTGGTCCTTACAGGGACCAAACTACAAAAACACAAAAAAGGTTTGGGGGTTAAATGCAAATAAACCCAAAAATTTCTCTATATATACCAATAAATCCTTTTTTTTACGCAAAACACAAAAAAGGGGATAAGCTCTCCTCTCTCCCTTCGGTCGACCCACTGTCGGTCGTCGTGCCCCCATCTTCAACTACCGTCCGACTGCCGCACATGGTGGCCTGAAAGCCCAAAATGACCCAAAACTTCCCCCGAGCCTAGATATATTAGTCTTCTAGAGCCTATTTTAGGGCTTAAAATACTCGAAAACACCCTAGAACTACCCTAAAATGGCCTAAAACCTTTTGGCTACCCGAACTCCAACGACCCTCCGACGACCCAGGTAAGAATCCGATTTTACTCCTTTTTTTTTTACTTTGACTGCTGGTTAGCTGGTTTGTTGGTGGATATTAGATTAGGCCCCAAAAAACGAAAAGAAAAGCCCTTATTTTATTTTTATTCGAGACATGCATGTGTTTTTTTAGTAGAAAATAACATAGCAAGAACAAAGTATTCGAATAAAAAATTGAAAAATATTAGCGGGTTTCGAAAATAACATATCAAGAACATAAAAAATAGATTCGAAATTAAATAAAAAACAGTAGAAGATGGGTAACCTTCAAAGTCTCTGTTATTGCTTTTGAATAGAATGTTACAGTATTTTTGGAGGGATTTCCGGGGCGTTTTATAGTTTTTTGTGTGGGTTATATACCCATTCTTACTGAAAATAAAATCATTGATTCTTTGTCTTCTTACTTGTTGTTTGTTGCAGTGGCGTGGAGGGGACTTGGCGTGCATGGAAGATTCGACAGTCATTGAGGTAGAATCGGGGTGGCCTTCGGTTGGGGCAGGAAGAGGTGGAAGCTGGTTGGGTGCAATGGGCGGCTGCTAGCTAGGTTAGGGTTGACTCGGGTCGGGTTTGGTTTGAACTTGATTTGGATATAGTTTTGGGGTTTAGTTTGGCTTGGGCCATTTTGGGTATGTTTTTGGTTTTGGGGTTGTAATGGTGGTGTAACACCCGTAACCCGTATATTTATACCTATACAGATTACGAATGTCACCCGTATTTTCTAAAACTATTTCAAAATTTAAAAGCGATTTAAAATTTATTTTCTTAAAATAGTAAATGATATTATAAAAATATCATATCATATAAAATTACGTTTCGTTATAACAATTTAATTCAAAATATTTTTATTTATGAATAGTGAATAGTGAACAGTGGGGGAATCGATTCACTGTAGCAGGGGAATCGGTACCCCTTTTACAATCTGGAAAATTTGGTTTAAAACGGGATTACTGTTCATGCTACAGTAACTTTCGAAAATTTACATATAAAACTCATAAAAATTAACCTTTCATCACTATAAAAATTCCCAAAAATTTACTCAATAATTAAATTAAACATTTCCAAATTACATGCCACTATCTAAAATCAAATTTCACAATAGGATGTCTTACTGATATTGAAATATACCTCTCGATGCTTGATGTCGTTCTGAACTCTTTATTCTTATTCTTTTCTTTTTACCTACGCGTGAAAATCATCACACGCTAAGTAATATATAGTGCAATACAATTCATGCATGAATTTAGATTTCAAATCCAATGCCATAAAACCATGCTAATAGCATCTTCAATATTTTACCATGATCAATATAATATAAATTTCTTACCTTTTATCCTATAAGCTCATAAGCTTATTTTCCCCAAAATACTTACCATTTAAAATTCCATAAGCTCGTAAGCTTATTTTTTTTCAATATACTTGCCATTATTCCGTAAGCTCATAAGCTTATTTGCATGGTTACTATTATTAACCAATAAAACATAATCCATAGTCAATAAACCGTAGACAATAGCCCAATATAACACCCTGAGGACCCTGTGTATACGAGTAAAATACCTGCACCGTAGTGCTAAACCTGCACTAAGCTTACGCCATAGTGCTAATCCGGACAATACACATAAGGTCGTGCCCACCACCTACACTAAGCTTACGCTATAGTGCTAATCCGGATATAAACCTGCACTTAGTGTCCTTACACACTATAGTGCTAATATAAACCTGCAGCTGCTATACTCTATGGCATGCCAACTATACCCTGTCCCTCAATGACTTACTTGGTCATATAGTCTATTT